TTTTCTCTGCGTGTATGTGACGACGACGGTTCCTCGCAGAAAAGATAACATTTTTAAATCTTTTATAAAAGTGCAAAATTTGTACTAAAATTTTGTACGTTTATAAAATGGTATGGGTGTTCATTTTTGGTGGTTTTTGTTTTTAATCTTATTTGTTTTAGTTGACATTTAATTGATTTTCTGTTTCTATATTCGGATTCACTGGGGAAAAACTTAAATCTGCAGTTTGAATTTTGCCCGCAGCTCAAAAATAAAGTCAGTCCTGATTGAAGAATATCATATGTTGCTTTAAACACATTACGTACACTACATATAAATTTCCATATTTTAAACTACATTTTATAACAACTTTAGTGAAAAAAGCTGGCAAAAAGTTACTACTGCTTTTTATTTAACAAAATGTATCGCAACATACAAAATTGTATTATCAACAAAATACAACAGACTTCTTAAATTAAATAAAATGACAAACCCACACTGTTTTATTAAATCATGGATATTTAAGTCGGAACATCGAAATATTCATCTTTTCAGTATGACTGTGACTTATATTCTCTGAATGCAAATTCGAAAATCAATGTGAGAAAATTCGATATCTGGAAGGTATGATACGAATATGTCCTCCAAAAAATGACTTTTAATTTTATACTGACGTAGATAGCAACGCTTTCGCTATTTTATTGCACCACACTATATTAAAAGTTATATATTATCCTTAAATAGTCCCAAACGCACTAGTTTTTGAAATAACCAATTAACTTAAGCTATATCTGAATCGATTCTTGTTGCTTATAATATGGCTGTAAGTTTTTTCAAATAAATAAACCTGATTAAAAATAGACCGTTTGCTATTTCTATACCCTTGAAATTTTGTCAAATGTTTAATTAAGAACTCTAATGCAATCTTAATTTTCTGAAATTAAGCTAAAAAATTGATCAAGGGTATTTGATACGGAATTGCTCATTGATAAGATAATTTAGTTATTTTATAATGTTTCACAAGTATTTGTTAACAATGGGGGTGTTGCTAAACATTTACAGAAAAATGTGTTGTAACTGATTTGGTTCCTGCTCAACGATGCTGCATTTCGCTCATGTTCATTCAATTTTTAAATGATTCATGACGTGCTGATAACTTTTATGACTTTTTGCAAAATTGCCATTCTCGAGGTAATAAGTTTGTAAATTTTACGATAGAATAACTAAAAATTTAAACTTGGTTCAACGATGAAAAGTTATACAGCATGGGAACCGTGTCGTAAGACATGGTGAATAAAATGTGTACAACAAAGTCAGAACTCTCCACATATCACACGTGTAATAGGATGAAAAGAAAAAAAAACGTAGTTCTATATGTCGTTTCGAGTTTGTTGTAACTTTGTAAGAACGAGTATAAGATAGTTGTAATTCAAAGTTTTCTTAACATAAAGTGTTAGTTAATTTTTTTATCGTAACAAATATCAGAATAAATTCTTCACAAAATTCCTTAATTTTAAATCCTAAGATATTGCGCACCTACAGGGTGATCATTTTAAGTGCCTCAGTCAATTTTGTCACTTGATTTTTCACTTAGGAAAAACATTACAAAACTATGCTTATGTACTTTTTTCTGAGGAATCCGATTTGGAAGAGAAAAAATAATTGAATATCACTTAAAAAAAGTTATAGCCAAAAAACTGAAAAGTATAAAAATTTGCATCCTATGTATTAATGCAGAAACTGATAACATATCAGTGCCAATTGCGCCTATAGATTGGCAAAATATTGTATTGGGAGGTAATGGAAATAGTAACGCTCTTCAGATAACCCAGACCAGTGTACCAACCCTTTGTATTTTTCAAAAAGTGTTAGTGACTCTCACTTAATTGCTGAAAATTAATTGAATGATTTGGTACGTGACTTAGGGATGTCAAAACAACATGCACAACTTCTTGGTTCCCGACTTAAGGAGTGGAACTTAAGTCTGATTCATTGTGAGAAACAGGTTTTAGGGCTGATGACAAATTCGGATATTAGATATATTTTTTTTTCTTTTTTGGAATATACCTCAGTTCTTGTTACACAAAAATAGCAATCATCGAAATGATTAATAGTAGTGTAATAAGTAAATATATCTATTTATCAACCCCAATATTTTAAGCAGATGTAGAGAAAATGTTATCAAATACTTTGCTGCAGCAAAATGGAAAATTTTGGATCATTTAAATGAATAATATAGAATTACCTTAATTTTTGAAATAAATAAATTATTTAAATATTTTTATTTATTTTCATCGATAACTGTTTTAAAAGATATATTTGTGTTGTTTTAAATTTAAACCCAACATTCTGTTACATATTAGATATAACGAAAATATAGAGTGGAATGAAAAATAATATTAACTGAAAATTTTTTGTTAATTATTATTTACTAACTTTTACAAATCTTATCACAGATAAGTATAACATATATCTTTTTAAACAATTATTTTCCCGGCTATTTGCCAAAATGCTGAATCTTGGATTACAAAAAAGATAATATGCACATTATGTTCAGTACAACTGACTCAATAATGTTATTTTTAATTTCAACTATTCTGTCTAGTAAAACCAAAAATAAATAAAACACAAGATACTCACCAGTTGACACTCACTTTAAAAAACTTTAAACTATCTACCGACACGTGTTTCTGCTTGCCATAGCGTCATCAGGGTAGCCAGCACATTTAAAGAATCCAAAGTAAGGAAACTTGTAAACCTTAATGTAATAAACATTAATGGCATCAGAGAACAGAATAATTGAAATTATATAGTGGAAATACCCCTTAGGGTCAATGAAATAATTTAAAAACAAATTAAGTTCCTCTTCTTGATAAACGAAAATATATTATGTATTGCCGAATTAGGAAGAAATTTTCTTTAAACTAAGCTAAATATACAGGGTGTATCACTTAAAATAAAAAAGTTGAGGCAACATTTGTTTTTTTTTTCGAATTCGAATTCTTCAGAAAAAATACATAAGCATAATTTTTTAAGAAAATCAAGCAATAAGATCAAATAAGGCACTTAAAATGATTACTCTGTACATACAATGTAATACTCGAATTAAATTGTAGTATTCCGACAAATTTCCTGGACGCTATTAATAATTAGATAAAAGAATTAGAACTTCTTACTTTCATCTGGTTGTAAAAAAAATAGATAATTTCTTAGTATACTTGCTATTTGTCTATGCCATGGTCAACCAGTTGAATTTAATAATACTCTCCGCTATAACGGAAGCTAGCAACTTATATAATTTACTATAATTTTATTAATATAAAGGTAGGCGGGTTACGTGCTAATACACCTCGTAATATACTAAGAAAATAAATTGATTCATCAAGAATTTATTTTATTCAACTTTTGTTTTATCATCTCGCGGTACCGCTTAAGTAACTGACACGATGACTATTCCGAGGTTAGTAATTTTGTCAAAAGTGCTAATACTAATATTGCATATTATTGATGACTCACTCACTAACTTATTTACTATTTTGTGAATAAACAGTTATTTATATTTTGCCAACTTTTGATAAAGTTACGAAAGTAGAAACAAAATAAACTGATAATCCATTCTCAAAAACAGATGTGACACATTAATTTCATAAGGTTATCTATTAATCGATATTAAAATAAATATCCGGTTTTAGAGAAAAAAATCTTACATAGGTATGTGACATTTCCACAAAGCATTTTGTTAAATCGAAGAGCTATTGCGGTACAGGGATTTCTAAGACTTGATATTTATTCATAACAAAGAAAAAGTTACTTATTCGAAGAATAAAATGTCATATGTTTGCACAAATGAGAAGGCGATTGCTGATAGTCCACGAGTTTAAAAGGTAGCAAATAAGCACAAATGAAAGCACCAATCTTCATATTATTTTAGCGTAAGATTAGTTCCGTGGTTTTCTTTAGTTTTTCTTGAATATTATAAGTAAATCCAGTGGTGAAAATGACGTCCCAGCAGAAATTCAAGAAGCAGCAGACGCTGCCAGTTTGAAAATGTTATCAGAAAAATCGAGAATCCTCCATAAAAAAATATATAAAATCTTTATGAATTGATGAAGGGAAAATTTTAATAGTATATCAGACTCGGCAGTTTTAGTATCTTTCGACGAAAAATGTGGATATAAATACATTTTCTAAACTAAAAGCGTTTCTGAAAAGGCAGTCTTTTATAATGGGATTGTTAGGAGATGAATGTAATAGAATGACAACTGATGATATAGATGATAAAAAGTATTTTTTTTTTAATGAAGATTAAAGATACTAAAACCAATATTCAAGGATCACAACCCCTATCAAGACAGAAAATTGTTTTAATCCTCCGAAAACATGTATCGTCGATAGAGTTCGAAAATATACTGTTCAAGTAGTCGCAATCCATCAATTTTTCAAAATACTTAAACTCTTAAATATTTGAAATTGTCCTATTCAGTAAAGTTATACAGAGCGTAGCTTTAGATATTTAGCTTCGCTGTTAGTCGGTTCTTGGGCTGATATTTTGAGATTGAAACACCACGAGGGTTGGAAGTCCTCAAACTTTGTCCAGCATTACATAGAAGAGTGCGTTGAAGAAAAAGTTAATCTTGCCAACCAAATTTTATGGGTAAAATTAAGAAGAATCGTCACAGATTTAAATCAGTACTGTTTCAAATATGTTGATATAATGATGACTTCGTCTCCATCTTCCACTTCTGCTGGTATAAATATTAATAATGTTAGTAATAGTACCATACACAACACATACATTTTAATAAAGATGTTTGACATGCCAAATTGTCTGACTTTTTCATTAAAAATATCAAAATACTGAGTTTTTTATTAACGTACAATAAAAGATATTATTATATAATGTGTAATATTTCTTTATTGCATATTCAAAAAAAAGTCTACTTTACACACTCAAAACTACTTTAAAATGAGCCACTTTTTGTTGTGGCAGACGAAACATGTATTTTACTATTCAATTGTGTGGCTTCGTGGTCGAGTGGTAAGGACATTTGCCTCCCATCCTGAAGTTCTGGGTTTGATTCCCGGTTGAGGAGCTAGGAATTTTGCTAAACCAGAAATTAATCCTATCATATTCGGATATTGGGTGTGTGTCCATTGTCTCTAAATGTGTAGCCCTCTCCCACACAAGGTACCTTGAGGTACCTTCGGGGATACAGGGGGTTGTATTACCTGTGGTATTTAATTTGATTTAATTGTGTGTACGATTGTGTTTTGTGATTATTTCAAATATGCTATGAAGGAACCAATTGAACTATAACTCGGCAGAACTAATTTTACAAAAAAAATATATTACAATAAATCAATTCTATCAATTAGAAACACTTTATAAATTACCAAATTACTAAATATTTTAAAAATTACAACAGCATTTAGAGAAAGATTTCATTTTGAAAAAAATATACATCATATTTGAACTAAAAATAGAATGTATAGAACATACATCATTATATTAAGTTGGACTTTTACGTTTAAAATTAAGTGTCCCATTTAATGTCTTAAAAATACTACCCACTGAATCATATAAGACAATTTACAAAATTCTGTGAACTGTTAATAACATTTTACGGAAACCACGGAATCTTTTGTAGTTCTTTCCCAAAATAACTTTTGAATTAAGTTATTTTTTAACAAAATTCACAAAACTACAGTTCATCTGCGAGTTCAAAATAGACCATTTCCTCATAATTAAGGTTCATCTGTTGACCAACTTTATTTACTTCCTTATATCCCGAGTTATTTCCATTTTTTTAAATGTAAAAAAAACGTATGAAATCATATAAATTGGTGGATTTATAGCAATGTTGATGCAGATATCTCTTTCTGTCAGTAAATTGTTGCAAGTCAAATATAACTTTTTACGCAAAATATAAAGTAATCAAACATATCAATAGAAATGATCTACTTACGACACAAGGAAACGTAGGATTCATGGGAATTTCTATTATCCTAATAATCATCTTTTGCAACTATATTTCACATAAGAAACTACATTTCTGTTTGATAAATATTCTTTTAAAATTTTGTAAAATAAATTAATTAAGTCTTGACGACCACATTAGGTAAACTTTTAATGTAGTCAAGATTTAAGTGACATCTAAGGTAATCTAATACAAAAAGAAAGGCGGATGTTCGTTTTTAGTATAAGTTAGCTATTTATATTGTTTTATTTTTATACTTCGGATAAACTATGGCGTGCTCTTTTTTTTGGATAAATAAGTTTACAAATAAACACCAAATAAACTTATGTTTGATTTTCACTATGTTTTAATTATCACGTGACAATTGTTTCAACACACAGTGGCACAGAGTAAGAGTATATCAACGGACTAACCTAGGGTAATGAAATGAAAAAGTAGTAAATCTAAATAAGGTACTTAATAAATATATTTAACAGTGGTGAACAGTTACCATTTTTTAATTTATTAATTTCTATTGTTTCTAACAGTGATAATTTTAATCTTTTATTTTCTGTATGTAAAACATCAAAATTATTATTAAAAGTGTGGTTGTCCTAATGGTTGATATAAGTTGAATCTGATTTATTATATATTTGTGGTTATTAATAACTCATGTTTCAAGTAAAAACATAGATAATACCCATATATAAACTATTTAATGATAGCTAAATTATAACCCGATTCCTACATAAAAGCATACATTTTCTTTTTTACATTATTTGCCATGCATTTTATTTGAAATTACGAATCAACATTGTCGAGTATTTTTAAAAATATAAGCACCAACAATTTAAATAGGTACCTACATAGTTCTCTTCCGCACGAATAGCTACATACCACCGTGACTCACGTAGAAAATCGATTTTGACATATCAAATAGAAATATACTTGAAATAATTGATTAATTAAAAGTGCTACTATATTTAAAATAATAAATACCCATCTCTTTATAAATGATTCATTTGTTTACATTAATTAAAGTCCTTATCTCTCCGTGAGTAGAGATAAAACACCTAGTTTGTAAGCATTCATTTTACCTAAATTGTCAATTTTTGTTCCAATTACACTATCAATTAATTTCAAGGTTACAACGACTAATTCAAATAATGAAAATCTAGTTTATTGTTTCAGAAAATAATACCCAAATGATGTCAACTTTTAGGAATTTTTTTGTTAAATCAGATATTATTACTTTGAACAACTACGAAAAGAATATTCACGAATACCCATTTTAAACGTGTTTATTAATACTAAATAGATTGTGGACATTAACCTGACACATTCGTTTAATAGAGATAATAATAAGTCATATACTGGAGCAAAACATACATTAATTCACATTAATATTCTCATTTTAGGCCCACCTAATATAAACAAATAAGTGATTAAATTATTTGATAGTAAGTTTGTAATAAATTGTATTGTTTCTTTATTGTTTGCATAATTAATTTTGATTTCTAATACCTACCTATTACTATATTCGAAAACTAGAAAAGGCTTTTTAGTCATGCAGAGATCGAAAAATTTTAACAGTACTTTACACTCTCTAGAACGAATCGTAAAAAATGGTAGTGTGCACAAAATATATTATAAAATAGTTCACATAAATATAAGGCGAAAAAATGTATTTTCAAAATAATAACTATTAAGTTTCATATATCTTAAGGATACTAAGCATAAATTTAAGGACATTAAGTTTCATTGTGTTATATATATTGATGATCTAAAATATTTTCTTTTAATCAAAACAGTAAATAAAGTGTCATTACATTTAGTTATACATATATACTTTTTATTTAATTGGATTAATGTTTTTGAACTTACCAGGGCACTGCTGTCACTCGGTGCAGTTCTTGCATATTTCAAAAAACACAAAAATATGGAGAAAACAAAAACTGTAACTACTTGCATCTTGTCGCGATACGTTTGTCAGAACTAATTGTTTTAAACTGATTATGAGATAAAATCTTATCAATACCACGTGTCGTTGTTACCTGAATTCAGATAAAGTAACCTTAATTTTAAAAAACATCGATTATTTCAGATGAATCGGGGAGAAATTTTTCTCGCACATCCGAAAATGTTCGAAAATTTCAGACCAAACTGTATCAATCATGTACTGACTTTCAGAGATTTACTGAAATGATGGTTTGGCCTAGTCTGCGAGGACAACCGCGGCAACACGAAACGAAGTGTGCGAGATCACTGAAACTTTGTCTGTTAGCGCACCGTGTTTATAATAGCCAGTGTACGTAACCTACCACAAGGTTTTCTATAATTTACGGGGGCCAAATCACACTTTATCGCGGTTACACGATTCTTCCCTTAGTATTGTTCATTATCATTTTATCGGAAAAAATACAAAATTGTTTATGCCTGGCATAAATAATGTGTTGCTTTTGGTTTTACCAGTTTTATCTGATTTGTACAATGATTTCCTTAGTATTCTTATTAATATTTTCATCAGTGGTATAGTAGACACACAACAGTTTTAATAGAAAATACTTGAACAACATAAACACTTCTTTCTGTTTCAGTTTTTACCACATATCTTACCAATTACCATAATATGTTTTATTACCACAATTTCTTGAATCAGAAAATTAAAATTAATACAATTTTCAGTGCCTACGTAAAGTTAAATTTATGAATAGAAATAATGTATCTAGAATATAATCTAATCTCATGAATGGATAGATGTACTAAACGTACAACTTTGGATATTCAGTGTTGAAACTTTTGATGGAATACGTTTTGTGTCTCGATAACAGACATGTTTTGTAGAAAATTCTCTGATAGGTCGATTTTTGTTTTTAAAATGCCAATTTTTGTCATAAAAATTGTATACCCTCTTTCAAACCCCTCCTCTACAACAGATCAACCCCTTCGAAAACTTTAAATGGCAGAAGGGGTAGTTTGAAAGGTATTTTAATTCTCTATACACTGGTTTAATTTTTTTTTAATTCGATTAATCCTTGTTTGAGATAGGGCGTTTTAAAGATGTACAACCAAACATGATCTCTTAAATTCAATAACTTCTTTAAAATTGAAAATACCTAAATTCTAAATCTAAATTTTTAATAAGACTTATGGTAAAAACGGATTTAGCCAGTTTATTAAAGGTAATTAATAAGTTATTCAAAATTGTCGCCATCTACTTTTTTGATAGCAACTCAGCTTAAATTTAAATTTATTTCTGAAGTTTTCAAACATCTGTGAGGTAATAGCCCTTATTTCGGCCGTTATTCTGTCTTTTAAATCGTGCACGTTGCAGATTTTGTTTGATAGACCTTGTTTTTAGATGGCTTCACAAAAAAGGAATACGGTGAGGGCAAGTCAGGCAACCTTGCGGGCCATTCCAACTCACCTCTTTTGCTTATTCATCTATTCGGGAATACTCAATTTAAATACTCTTTAACAGGGAGTATAAAATGAAGTCACACCCCATCCTGTTGAAACCACAAATAAGAATTTGGTATCTCTGAATTGTTTGGATTGGAAAATACTTTGTCAAAGTAGGAATAAGCTCCGTTTGTACAAAGCGGTTACCCTCAAAGAATACTGGTCCAATTATTTGATGCCCCACTCTGCATGCCGAGATATTAACTTTGTACGTAAGACTTGCATCCAATGAGGATTTTCCTAAAATCTGCAGTTCTGACGATTCACATTATGAGTAAATCATCAGAATTGCAAATAATAATAATAATAATAATAAGTAATTTATTTCCTACAGGTTAAAGCACCCAATTACAGGAAAAGCTTAAAACTAAGTATACTGTGATATAAAATGCACAAATTTGCGATACACATAGTCATTAACATTACATTAAGAGTTTACAAGAAAACTCACATAAAAGTAAAATATATTATAGTGTTATGAAATAATCTAATTTAATAAGCACAGTTTTCTTCATATATATGAATTATTTTAGCTAAACTATCATAGTTGACATCACATAAAGATGAAATGGTGTTAAAAGTTTTACACATATTAAAGATTGGACTTTATCATAAGGTTTGTACGAGGAGCATCGCAGTAAAAGAGGTTGTTTTGACGGGATTCTAATCTGGTGACT